CACTGAATATTCTCTCAGGATCATTTATAATTTACAGTTTGAAGAGAACAATTTCACGTTTGATATTTATTCTTTTATTAGTCTTTTATTATTCAACAAAATAACACTTGGCGTCCTACTTGCTTTATTGTACAAACGACCGGTTTCAATGGACCGGCGAAATTTCTCATTTTATTAAAGCACTGAGGTTACGCCAACTTCGGGTTAAACTGATTTCACGAGTTGTCAAAGAGTCGAGCGATTCCCTTTTCCCATTTGAGCGCCGACTCATTTCGCTTCAATATTCAGAAATGCTCTTGATCTCTTTACGCTTTCATTGCCTTTCGCCCGACATGTTTTGCACGGCGTTTAGTCTGCGAAACCTCCACGAAACATCCACGCTGCGCGCGAGGTAGCTTTATCCCGATTCTAAAAATAACTCGAGACGAATTACCTATGGAATAGGGTGTGTATGGGGCATGCCTTCTCTGTCCCCTTCATCCTCTCTTGTTGAGACTAAATAAACACCCCGAGTCAAACATTAATCTGTAATCCACAAATCGAGTGAAGCGAACTGCTCCCTTACTCATTTCGGCCTTTCCGCGTGTCTTCGCACCTTCCTTGTTTGTGTGAGTGTGTGCGTTTGATCGTAAAAAAATGCTAAAACGGTAGGAAGCGAGAAAAAAAGACACACACTCAATTGCCAGAATTCGAACTCGCCCTTCTCCGCCAGCTGTTAGCTTCGCGTGCCGGAAACTTAACCAAGCAGCTAAGGAAACAAAGTACAAGATCCGTTTTCATCTCTGAACTCAACCCTAAACACTTCTCACGCGGTTGCAAATACAAATATAGGTAAAAGGAAATTGTAAAGTTAATCGTGCAAACATCTTTTGCAGAAAAAATTAATTAAGTAGAAGGGAGCGTGACCTTCCAAAACATCTTTTCTTCATTGGCCGACTTTCGTGCTGTAGTATCGGCTCTGCCATGCAGCCCGACTAATAAAGGCAAGAAGAATCTTTGCGGCTGTGCGGAAAAGGCTAATCGACAATGAGCTTTCGTGGCTTTTTGATTGTCATCGTTTGTCAACATTAAAACAGCGGCTGTGTTTGCAAATTGATTGGCGCCAAAAAAGGACGTACTTTTCAGTTTAATTTATTTCTTTGGGTCATTCTGCATATATTACATTCCACCGGGAGTAGATTCGGCTCCTGTTTTCACATAATTATGTCATTCCGCAAGCCATACCACATGCCATTCCGCAACCTCATTCCGCCTCTTACCCTCACCGGTTGTCAACAGAATTTACGCGAAACCACCCGTTACTTGCTGGCGCGAACAATAGAAACGTCATCATTACCCACCAATTCCTCGCGGGCTATGGCGTTCCATTTCCGCCAAAATTCAATGTTCCATGTTACATTGTACTTTGCACAATGTATCGTACATTTTGTGTTTGTCATTTGAAGTTACACTCGCGATTCAACGTTTTTGCATTCAACATTCAAGTTTGACTTATGCAACATTCAAGTTTTCGCTTTCGACAATCAACTTTTCATAAGCAACAGTCAAGTTTTCTAATTCGATCTTCAAGTTCAGTGCACTGGACGAAAAACCGGATTTACTAATGTTTGCGAAGGGTGCAAATATGTGGTAAATTTGGAGATCCAAATTTGCATTAAATTTGCGCTGTCGGCTAAAGTGTGGGCAAATACATATATTTGCTAGATAGGTATTGATACGCAAAAGTGAAGTAAATGTAATGGTTTGATACAAATTTGATACATATTTGCAGCATGGGCAAATCTTCAAAATTTCTACCAATTTACTCAAATTTACATCCTTGGCAAAAATGACAGTTTTCACTTTACTTCAAATGCAGGCAAAAATATTGCAAAACCCTTAATTTGCAGTGGTGTTTGCTCTTGTTTTTCCAGGATACCAAAAGAACACTTTTGCATGTGGTTTACTCGTATTTGCCTTAAGAGCGGAAACAATAAATTTCTAGACATTTGGCTGTATCATAAATTTGCACATTTGCATCGTAATTATCCATATTTGCAAGGGGAGCAAATATAGTGAACTGCATAACATTTGCTGACAGTCAAAGGTGATGTGCATGTGACATTTCCTATATGTTTGATTCGTTTTGTGACTAATGTAAATTTCCAATCTCAACTGTAACATTACATTGTTACAATAAAATTTTGTACACGCTGTGAGACTCCGCCCAGAGGTCCAACCCCTTACATGCATCTTTCCTGTTAACTGTTTTATGTGCACTGCCATTTTAATATAAAGGAATCAGAAACCAGTTAATTTTTTTGGCAATTTTACAGTCACAAATTTCTTCTGTTAGTCTTTTTACAGAACGAAATGACAGATAGTCTACCCTGTCATATACCTTAACTCAGGAAATCCCTATCCTTTCATACCTGAAGCATGAAAAAGGTGTCCCTTTCTGACAGCGCCCCTGGCATAAACCTTTCCCAGGCTTCTAATTTAAAGCAAATACACTAATTCAAATCTACTCGTTATTAAGGTCCAGTAGTCAGATCATTGATGCACTGTATTTCCTACAGTCAGGGCCATAGCCAGTATGAGGCAAACCGAGGCACTTGCCTCAGTCATTTAAGGTTTGATCCTGGCAGTGTTTTGTTTCAACGTAGTCATCATAAAGACCCTGAATAGCTAGGCGGGGAATTCAACCATGGATATTGCCTCAGTCCTTATTATTTTCTGGTTACGGCCCTGTCTACCGTCATAAAAATTCCTCTATCAACTTATGGGACAGTGTACATCTTAACAAGTGGTATTCCCTTATGCACAGCAATAAAATACCACAGGGGTCCTTAAACTAAAGATAACACCTATAAATGAGAACTAGGTAGTGGTTGGATGGCTGTAAATTCATCTTCATTAATATTACATGATGCTTCCAAGCTGCATTAGGGAACCAAATTACCTCATTGTACGTTGGTGTAAAATATTGTGTTTTTCAAGGGTTGTCATACATATACTGCAGGGTTCTTTCTATATTTCCGACAATATTGTACTGATTCTAGAATATTAGGGGCATATATCATACGGGACTTATTTGTTGTAGTTTTGACTGACCACCTAGAGATGACCACATCTCGATGGTGGGCTTCCTAAAAATGACCACATTTTGAAAACCCAACAGCCAATACTACAACAAAATATGGTGAAACTGCTCACAATTTTATCTGAACATTAACTCAGCCGACAAATTTATGAAAGGCTATATGCAGAAAAACATTACATTAAAGGACTAGAGAAAATCGCTTAAAATATTCAAATCCAGAAGGCACTTTAGAGAAAATTAGAACCCTTATTCAGCCGTAGTAAAAAGCTTTATGCTTTAAAAGAGGTCAAAGAAAATGCTCTTGCATCAGAGGACAAATCCTGCCGACCAGAAACAAAAACCACAGTAAATCAATATGTGTTCCATGACCTCTCAGTGTGACACAAGAGGCAAAAATCACATTTGTTCAGTGAAATTGTAGAACCTTCCAGAGCATAATCTACCCAGCAGGGGAAAAAACTTATTGGAACGAGCAACATTTTGGTAGGAGGTAAAAGTTGTTTTAATAGGCCTACCAACCAACCCCTTTTATTGCTGTGCGCACGATAAACATGCTATGGCGGATCCCATGCCAGCCACGATAGAATCAGGTAAATCCCACTATTTACAGTAGTGCGATTTGAATACCCCACTCAATGCATGAATCTGCCATTATCACCCAGCATGCAAAGAAAGTAGTGTCCGATAGCCCGGGGCTAGTGGATTTTGCTCTCAGACTAGTGAGTTCTGTTATTAACTTGCCCGATGGGCAACTGAAGTTTTTTGAGGAATTCAAATTACAGAAGTACTGTCAAATCAATCTGCTCATCAAAACATTTTTGGGGCTAGTTGAAATGATGTTTGGGCTAGTAAAATGTTAGCTTCAGCTGTAAAAATGACTTTCTTTGCACCCTGTCACCATACTGATAGGAATCTAAGCAAGTGCAAACTCTGCCGCCATGTTTGTGCAATATGCACGAAGCACGATGGACTAAAGAGCCACCCACCCGACAAAGTCTTCTATTGTCTTGACCCAGGGAGGCTCCCTGGTCTTGATCAATGATCACTGAAGCGTGAACGAAAATTCACAAGTTGTGTTGAAAATACACATGGTTGAGTTTGAAATATGACTCGGTAAGTGGCAAAATGCCCTGATTATTGGTTTAGGCATTCAAGCTTATAAAAAGTAGCAATATTGGAAAATTTGTCTGTTGTATAGTTTTATTCATAGCGCCGAGTTGAAAATTGCATGGTTCTACTATGTAATTTGATGAAGCGAGTTGAAAATACACAGCGAGCAAGGTCAAATAGAAGAGTTGAGTTTAAAAGCTAAGGGACACGAGCATAAAAACGTTTTCTTCTAAAGGAAGAGTGTAAAATTTTGAATTCAGCTATAAAATTCAAGTACCGAGGTTAGAGATTTAAATGATGCATTTAAAATTGAAACCATGAATTTTGGCAGGGATCGTATGCCATAAGCCTGACTTTGTCTCTACCCCCTGGTGTGCACCAAGTATGATTTCTAAGAGGAATGTCAAACTGTGTTCCATGCAATTCTGTGTTTGTCCTTGTTTTCTTGAAAACAATGCATAATGAAACAACTATTAGAATTGGTTTTTGTGATATTTGGAATAATCAAGGTCTCAGTAAGTGTTATCAGCCTCAGCTTTCGGCTCAGCTGATGTCATTTAGTCAATCCTCTCCCTTGATTATTTCTGGATATCACAAAACCTCATCCCACACCATTTATTGTTTAATGTTAACAAAGTGAACTAAGACTGTGGTGGCACAGCCCCTGTACATTAATTTGTAAATACTCAGTATCCTACATTTCAGTGGGAAATTAAGGCAGCAGTGACAGTTAAAAGTAATTAAGTGATGAGAACTTCATTGATTCCTGATTTTCCTTTCAGTACTAGGCAAACATCTTAGGAGCACTATGCAATATTGTGCAGGTTAGTGACGCTGGGGTTGAGGGGTTTGTACGAGAAAATAGAAGAAAAGTCAATGTTACTGAGAATTTGTAATTACATGTAACAACAAGTGCTGAAAAGAAAATAGAATACCTTATTATTTATTTGATAATTAAAAGTGCTCAACCTCAAGTAACTGCCCACCTCCAATAACCCTCCACCTTATAGGCAGAAAAAAATGAATTATCTCCTAACCTCGCATAAGTGCCTACCCCATACCAGCTAGATTGAAAAAGACTAAGTTCTACTAAATTAAGAGACCAAGTTTTCTTAGTACAGTATTTTAAAGAAATTTTCAATGAACAGTTAAAAATCTGCTTTGGAACTCAAACAAAATTACTCTATCTCCAACAAAATTACTTTTGGTGAAAACTTTGAGAATTCATTAAGCACCCAGCCCAAATACACGTATTAAAGTGACCAACTTGAATAATAACCCACTCTCAAGGTGCAAAACTTTAGTGAGCACCCAGGCAAGGCACTTAATCAAATAAATATGGTATTTTGTTTTGGGACCTCTTCATTGGAGTGGTACATGCAGTCGCGTTTTCCAGTAGGTGTAGTGCTTGATCTATAAACACCCAAGCTGTTTTATGAAAACTGCATTGACAAAATAGATTTGCAATTATTGAGAATCTATTTTATACCAATACAGCATTACATTTCATTTCACCCTTCATTAATTCGGCTTTGCTTTTTCAAAAACACTGTATCGCAGCTCCAGGTTTTGTCCAAATTACCTTTAGTTAAAATTTTTTGTGCATTTAAGATAGACAATATTATTTTGGACTACTGTGCAAATTAACCTTTTGAAAAAATAATGTATGAAATAGCTGTGTACGTATGATCTGAAGATAGTTTATCTTCAGTGTATATGTAAACTGCTTTTAATAGAGCTTTTTACCGATACAGCAGCCATATTTAATTAATTCGATTTAAGGAGTATTATAGGATGCCCTGGGGGCATGAGCACATTTAGTTTGTATTTTGGAGTGCTTTTCAGGACATTTTTTCGTAAAGTTTTCTTAGAATAAGATTGTGATGGGAAAAAAGATTCTTGTGCCCTGTTTGGATGTAATAATGATCGCCTTTTTCTAGTTTAGCATTAGAAATATGGTCTTTCACAGTATATTTCTCGGGAAAAAGGTGATCATGATTACATCCAAACACGGCACAAGGATCTTTTTTCCCATAAGAATCTTATTCTAAGAAAACTTTAAGAAAAAAATGTCCCGAAAAGCACTCCAAAATACAAGCGAAATGTGCTCATGTCCCCTGGGCATCCTATAATACTCCTTAAATTGAATTAATTCAATATGGCCACCGTATTGGTAAAAAGGTCTACTAGTACCCTTATTTTATTCGGCTGCTGATAATAAGAGCAGGTATGTCAATGCCAGAAATTTCAAACCCATTGAATTTATTGGGTGGCAACAAGCTACATTAAACTTCAAGGGCACTTTGGAGGATTCTTGCTGATCTCAGCAAGACTGTTCTTTGAAGTGCAGTGCCAACTCAATCCCAGAATTATTTATGTTTTTTCAGTTAAACCTCCAGGTCTTCAGAATAGTACCCAGTGCTCCAAAACAAAAGGGGCAACTTTTACACCTGCATCTTCCACAAGTAGTATCTTCATGCCAGATGAAGATACTAAGTCTTGTTGACTATATTTGTTGTTGATCTCTTGTTCGATGTCCACCCTTTTGTCACAAGGACATGCAATATCAGTGATGAGGCAATTTTTGTTCTGTTGGTCCACACACACGATGTCAAGGCGATTGTGATCCAGTTTCATTTCTGTTTATATACAGAAATCCGAAAGAAATTTGAAAGTCTTATTATCCTTAACATCACATTATTATTATCATTATTATTGTTGTGGTTGATGATGTTATTATAAGCATGGGTAGTAAAGAGGTTCATACACATGTACAAAAATAAACTACCTTAACCACTATTTTGGGCACTAATTTGTGGTTATTGCTCACTTTTTTCAATGACTGTGCTTTGCAGATTTTAGTAAAACAGATGAAGGTGCGAACAGATGGTTAAGGAGACCCTGCAGCAGCTAGATGCCAGCTCCTTGATTAATTCTTTCAAACCCCAGAGTTTAAGGAGATCCACCTACAAGCCAAGCACCCTTTAGTTCACATGCATGGCCATTGTCGTTGATTAGCAGTGGAGTTAGTTGTCACACCAGTACATCCTCCTCCACTGCAGCCTCCCTCCCCACATTCTCCTTTACTGTAAGGAGTGGCAGTGATGATGGACATAGGATGGAGAATGGATGGATTACTCTCAAGTTGTTGCCATTGTTTGATTAAATTTAATATCTTCACTTTGAATTCTGTTTTAATTTTTGCAAAACTTGTTTTAGAAAAAATTGAAATGTTTTGAAATCACTCATTCTGAATATTTCAATCAACTTTGCAACTGTACCTTGTATATTTCTTTGAATGAATTGTCAACATGTTCGAACACTTTTTAGAGTTAGGTTTATCAACTGACACAATTCAACTTTGCACGTTTTCCTGTCAGGATTATCAAACTTTGTTCCTGTATTTGAACTTTAAAATAAATGATGTTACGCGATTTAAAACCTGTGTTTTTCCCTCTTGCGTTGGGCAGTTAGTTAAAGTGAATAAGACTGGGGCGGTGATAAAAATGGGAGAATGGTCGGAACTGTTAAAAATCATTTTCAGTATAATACTGCAACCCCACAAATAAGTCCCTGAAATGCAATGAAGTGCAATGCTGACCAGGAAACATATCGTGAGGTATCAATGGAGTGAAAAGGCGGTATCAGTTTTTTCGATATCATGCATGGAAATTGAAAGTATCGTCGAATTTAGTACAACAAACCTGTTGCAATTTTCGCGTATCAGGAGTTTTGCCACGATTTCAACATCGGTAATTTCATGAACCGTGGAATTCCAGTGGTGTTTGAGTCCCTGGTATTTCACGTACCATGGAATTTCGGGGAAGTGAAAACACTCGAAACTTCACGTATCGTGGAATTTCATCGCATTCTACGGAATAGAATCTTCACGTGTCGTGAACGTTTGGAGTATAAATTAGCATAACACAATCCGTAGCGTGGAATTTTAGTGAAAATGAAAGGCAAAAATTGTAACGTTCGCCAACGGCACTCCCTGATTCTCGGCAAATCTAGAAAAATAAGGACGTTTACAGGTCTTGACGCGCCGCGTTTCAATGACGTGTCCGGATATCGGATATTCCATGCCGCGGAAAAAGTTCGATTCAGGAAAAATACGGGTCCTGATACTCAATGTATACGCTGCGTGTCCGGAACCCGATACCTCTCCATACTTCCGTTTTTCTGAAGAATACGGGTTCGTATCGACTAATATCGGGACCATGACACAACTCATTTCACACAGTGTGGGCAGACGGCTAAAGTGAAACCGCTAACTGCAAACCGCGGTTTGCCGTTTGTGGTAAGATGGCCGAACTTCGATCTTGTAAGGTCTCTAATAAGACAAAGTAAAAACGCAAAAAGGGCCTGCATTTTGGCAATAGACCATCTCTGATTTCCAAAAAGTTTCCCTTTCAAAACGGGGCTCAGTGCAAAACCTTTCTTGTGAAAATGAGTTTTATTTGCACGAGAGTGCGTATCAATGGCTTTGCACTTAGCCTCGCTTTGAAACTGAGGCTTTGGACAACTTGGATAATGATCCTTATGTATGATTACGTTAAATGAGCAAATTCACCACCAAGTTTGTAAGCAAAACTCTTCGCATTTGCACTCTTTGGGTGTCAATACCGTAAAATTCCGAAAATAAGCCCCCCCCCCAAACCCGTAACGCAATAAACCCTCCGTTAAATCGCCCCCCCGAATATAAGCCCCTTCCCCGGGGGGGGGGGGGTTGTAATTGGAAATTGCCCTAAAACAAAGCAAAAACGGTAAATTTCCTTCCAACTAAAAGGCTAGCCCAATCGATTTTGAAACGTAATTTTCCCTCCGTAGATAAGCCCCTCTGAATATAAGCCCCTCATTAAGGGCCTTTGAAAAATATAAGCCCCAAGGTTTATTTTCGGAATTTTACGGTATTTTTTTCAACTGTTCTGCCTTGGGAATTTATTTATCCAAAAAGTAGCAACTTTTCAACTTCAAAACGAGGCTTGGTGGTGAAATTTGCTCGTCTGACGTAAACATGCATAAGGGTCATTGGCCATTTGTGAGGGTACGTTTCCGTTTTGATTTCATATTTATTTTGCCTTCTCTTTTAAGGTGGGCTGTTTATGTAAAGAAAAATAGAAGCTTTACTATGGAACTTCTTCCATTAAACGCCGCGCCCAGAGACAACCTTTTCGAGTTGTGCAGCAGCAACTTTGACGAAGAGGAAAACAAGGGCCTGGAGCACATCTTAACTGAAGTCTTGCTTTTTCCACCAATACACATATACTCCGCCTTTGTCTGGAAATACTTCAGTTAATTACACGAGAGTGACGGGGTGGTTGTTGCTAGACAGACAGCCAGCCAGCCAGCGTTGAACTACGTTATATTTATAACGGATAATTTAAATAGTTAAATACGAAACGTGCATTAAATGAGCAAGAGCTGATGGGACAAAACTGTCCTGTCGCTGATCAAGGTTATTCGCTTTTAAGTTTTATCGCGTTTTTTAACCTCGCTTTTTAAATATAGGCTACCTTTTCTGGAGTTTAGGTCAGTGTTACAGCCCTATCAAGTTTATACAAAGAAAGAAAAGTTCGAAGTTGGTCGTCTGAGTGGCAATAGGAAGTTTCATTTCGTAGTCGTGCTGTGACGGCAAGGAAATGTACTAAAAAGTAGCTTGCGCGTGCAGAGTTGTTGTTTTGCTTACTTAACTATTTTTTGATTTTGACGTTCTTGTTGCCGTCGTTGTTGTTTAATTGACCCTTTTCCAATCCACCAATCCTCGGTTCGTTGTCGCTAAAGATAAAAATAATATGTGAGTAAAAAGAATGTCAGTTTTCCGGGCGGGGTGGGGGAAGAAAGCTCTCGTTCTAGTGCCCAATTATTACGGCTTGGTACGGGTCGTACCAATCTCCACCCCCAGAGCTCTTCACTAGAGCCTTCAGTTCTTATGACTGTTAACTGTGTTGTTGGAACGTCGTGCAAAAGGTCCTCATTTCTCCTTGTGCCTAAAGAAGAGAGATAACGGAACGTTATAAAAGACGTCTCAGTTCATGCACAAATGAACCTGGTGCACTTTTTAGTAATTATTTTGCTACTTTCCAAGTATCAGGTGGTTTTTCTAACTGAGTAAAGGCAGGATGGCTTACCATCTGTCCTTTCTTCGCTACTCTGTGGGGCGACGATTGAATGGCCTGATCACTTAAGCACAAAAGGAAAAGGAAATTGCAAGTCAGCCTACCTCTGAAGAAAGGTCCACATACAGTTCACATTTAATTCACTAATTATTAAGGCCAAATTACCAGCTAGAGTATTGCATCAAAAGAAAAAAAAACTGAATGAAGATAATATTTGTTATGCATCGAGTCAAAATTTACCTTGGCTCAAGTTTATTTTTCTTTTACCAAGGAATTGTAAGAACTATGAAAATGAGTTTTTACAAAAGGAAAATATAATTTTAGATTAGGGGCACTTTGCCTTCTCTACGGAAAGCTTCAGGTTCCGTACTGAAGACTATTTAGTCTTTCGACTCAAACAAGCATATTCTCAACCAGCTTCCGAATGCGGCTTAATAGAAGAAAAGCTTTCTTCAGAGATTGTAGTCCTGGTTCAAAATGATTTAATGACACCGCAATCGTAAGAAATTTTTTTTATCCTAAGCAGTTCCATCCTTGATGTAAATCAAAGAAGCTTTCTAAAGATTTGCCACCAGCTTGATGGGAATTTGCATATGATCAGTATACTTCTGATTATAGAACGGTGCACAACCTGTAGTCTAGTATGTCATTCTGATTGCAGCGTAACTGTAGAGCCAACAAACCAATTATTACTTCGGCGGAGCGCGAAGTAAAGGATTGGCGATGCTCAGGAATGTATCAAAGTTGAAATTTTTTGACAAGATTGGGCAAGCAAAGTGTGTAGGTTTTCGGTTCTATTCGGCTATTTGACGAAGTGAGAGCCGAATTAGTTCGAGACATCTTGAGATCACTTCGATTTCTTTGATTTATTCTTTAACTTTTTCGAGGAAGAAAGAATTATTAGTTTGGCTTCCCCGGGGTTTGAACCGACACACCGGTGTGACCTGTCAGATCAGAGGTGACTCTAAGTTGAGGGATTAGCCGATTGCGCTACTGCGACCTAGGGTAGTTTGGGATATGAAAAATAGTTATGAAATGGTGCACTAGTTTCGGGACAAGATTGGGCGTGCAAGTTCGTGACTTTTCGGCTTGTTTCAACTATTTCACGAAATGAAACCGGACTACTTCGTGATATCTTGAGATCACTTCCAGTTTAGTCTTTAATTACTCGAGGAATAGATAGAGGATATTTCGTGGCCGCGCAGGGACACGAAATTTCTCTTCGAGTGCTGAAAAACATTTCACGAGTGAGCCCTCCTTTCGAACTGTTTTATGATGAATTTAAAGTTACAAAATGCTGCACAAAGACATTTTGTGTTACGTAGTAAAATTGCTTTCAGGCGTTGCGTGACTTTCTCGAACGTTCTCTACGTTTTTGGATTATTCATGAATAATTGCTGCGGAGCGACCGCAGGGAGCGAGCAGCAACATAATCAGGATTTAAGGGAAATATATAGAAGGGGCGACGAATTCTCGAATTCATCACTTTTTACCACAATGCATTGCATTTAACCACACTTTTTACCACAATGCATTGCATTTAACCAGAGTGCATTGCGCCACGAACAATTCAAATATAAACACGGGGAAGTTCGCATCGTTCGCTGCCCAGACTCAGAGTTTTCTTCGTAGCAAATTTTATACAGCACGGTTACAGGTCTTACCAAATTTAAGACACGCAGTAGTCTTTCAGATGAGTACGATGGTTAACTTGGGGATTGGATTTCAATTCAAGTGCCTTTGACTCGTCCCGGTATTAAACCTGACGAGAAGATGATCATTTGTTCTTCGACTCCGCAACACGGGGATATACAAATTCCAGCTTGCTAGAAGGTGATGTGAAAGTGAGAAAATGTCATGCCATGCTACTCTTAAGAACTTGTATCAGCCGAAAATGGATGTGATTTTGACCATTCGCTTCAAAATAACCGTAGGGGAAATCGAGATAACAAAACATATGTTTTGTGTCCTACGTTGCAGACGAGGACGTGTATCGGCGTTTTGAAAAGCATAATTACGTTCTTTCATTCATTCATTGCCATGGAAT